GAGATCTTCAATCTTTTCCAACCCCCATGTTTTTACGAACTTCGCCAAATTCATTTGGGGCGACCTGCTGTGAACCGTAAATCACGATTGTACACTGTAGTGATTTTAAAAATCGCTGAGACTCGGAAGAAATAAAAATATTCCGAAATGCTACAAATAGTGGAGTTTGCTATTTTGATGAGATGCCAAAAAGGACAACGACAAGGGTTTGAGTCTAATGGCATTTGTTTTGTTTTTTTATAGCTTTCTTTTTAATGGAAGAAAAGTGTTTAAAGTTGCGGTTATGCGTAGGATAAAGAAGGCGGGTTTGTTGTTGGCGTAGGATATTGTTGTTGTACATTTTTTTGTTTTTGTTTTTTCGTACGAATTGCGTCTTTAAGTTCACTGAGAAAACGAATTATGTTTGTGTGAGGAATCTTCAGAAAAGTTCAAAGGAATAAAATACATGTTGGATTTATTGAAGTTTGAGTGGCCAAGTGGCTAGCTCTCTGGATATTGGTAGTATAGGCTTCAGGTTCGAATCCTGACGATGGCATGGATGTTTGTGAATGGTTCGGAATCCACTTTAAACCGTAGGTCCCTGTCCCTTTAGCCCTCGTGTGCACAAGATGACCGTAGAGCGACAAACCAAACCTCTCCCTAAATACCCAAGAAAATAATGTCATTACTAATGTGGGAAATGGTTAAAATTTCCCAGCTTTTTATTAATCAATTGAAAATTGTACCGTACAATCCCGAAAATCCGGACTTTAAAACCAGTGATACTGATAAAAATATTTTTTTGTGATCATTGAAAAATCCGTTTTATTGGAAGGTAGCTTGAAAATATGGACACTGCTCTTAAAAGCGGAGATCTTCAATTTTCTCCAAACCCCGTGTTTTTACAGACTTCGCCAAATTCATTTGGGGTGACCTGTTCACCGTAAATCACGATTGTACACTGTAATGAGATTTTTAATGATAGCTGTGACTAGAAATAAAAATAGGAGAAATATATTCCAGAATGCTACAAATAGTGGAGTTTGCTATTTTGATGAGATGCGAAAAAGGACAACGACAAGTGTTTGAGTCTAATGGCATTTGTTTTGTTTTTTAATGCTAGAAAAGTGTTGTTTGAGGTTATGCGAATGTTGACCCGGCATTAGTAAGACCAAGAAGTCAGGTTTGTTGTTTGCATAGGATATTGTTGTTGTACATTTGCAGATCTTGGTTTTGGTACTTTTTTTCCCCTTTGAAAAATTATCTGTCACCCCTTGCTTCAGGTTGCAATCCTAGGAGTAACATGAATGTTCGTTAGTGGTTCGGAATCCACGTTAAACTCTAGGTCTTGGTCTAATTAGCCCAAAGTGAGCAAAAAAATTGCCGTAGAGCAACTAAGCACGCCCTTTTTTTTTTTTTTTTTCTGGTTTCACCTCCCAAGTGTCACCTCGTTATGAGCTACGAAATGTTATATGACATTTTCGGATTTTTTTTTATTATTTTATTTTATCCCAGTTGGTAGGCAGCAAAATTTGGACCAAATCCAAAAACCCGGGCTGTTTCATGGAACGGTAATAGAAGTTGACCTATAATAGCATCCGTAGGTAGAAGTCTGACTTGGCTCCGTAATGCTGAAGTAGGACGGAAGTGCTTTCCGTGAGAACTTTTAGGGGAAACTACCCTGCATTTGCGTATAATATGGTAAAACTCACACCAGTAGTCCGACAAACGAGGCAAGAGGCTGCTCATTTTTTGAAACAGTGTCTACAACAAAGCCACCAGCTGAGTGAACCTCAGCCCTAATGCTCACCAGTGGCGCGCGAGTCGGGCTCAAGTTTAATCACTGTAATGAGAAAGATATCAATTGCATATATTAAACATTCGATATAATTATGGATGACTTTAAAGATAACTAGCATGTAAATTCTTGAAAAGAAAAGCATTAGGAACACTACTTTGTTAAACATTCTGTGGAAAACATTTTCATCCAAATAGTGTTTTTCCATTTGACAATAAAACAAGTAATATAAAAAAAAAAAAAAAAAAAAAAAAATTTAAGTCAATTCCTACTTTTTTTTCACTCTATTGCAAAAAGTCCTTCATAAATAATCTTCATTCATTTTTTTAAGTTTATCTGGCGCCATCTATTGGTAGATACATGCAACTTAAATGTAAAAAAAAAAAAAACTAAAATTAATTAATTAAATTTAATGAATGAATTAATATTTGAAAAACTGTATTAACATCCAGTGTCATCCACTACAAGTTAAAAAAAATGTATTTGAACTTGAGCGGATGAATAAAAGGTATTTTATGAACGATTGAAAATTTGTACAAGATATATATAGGGAGAGTGTGAACTAATAGTAGGAATTTAATTATTGTAATTAACGAAACTGTAAATCCACTTTGATGCGGTGTCCTTGATACCCATCTGTAAAATTTTATAAAGTAATTCATTTCTCCAAACTAAATAATATGCTGTTATATCTAATTTAATAAAAAATGAAAAATTTGCTTTCTTGGCTTCAACGATTTTGTGGTGAAGAAGTTAAGAGAATACACATACAGTCCTTGAAAGGGATCAAATCTGAATGATGATGGAATTTATTGGAATCAGAAATTAATGATTCTCTTGAGCACAATTTTTTCAAATATAAACAATAAGTCTATAAAATTAAGGGAAGTTATCTTTGGTCGGTTTTAAAATTGGAATGGCTTGTGCAATAAGCCACTCTTCTGTGATGTTGCCTGTGGACCAAATACGCTGTTCTGAATATTATTCATTAACATTCCGATATCCTCCTTTCCGAATGACCATGCAGTTTCTCCACTGAGTCACAATTTCCCCTCTAATCGTTTTTGTTTGTTTCTATTGTGTATCTATTTTTTTTAATTACCTTCTTGAAATTTTAATAATAATAATAAAAAAATAATATATGCATAATTTTTATTTATTTATTATTAATTAATAAAAATTTCGAATAATTAATTTTTAAATAAATTAATAATATACTTATATTACTTTTTTCTATCTAATCAATGGGTTTAAAGCTTAAGAAATTTCCCTCACTCACAAAGCAGGAGATAGAGGTTGCTGAGCAACCAAGATTCTCCGTTAATCTGGCAAATCGTCGTCGTGGGCCAAATAGTATTAAAAATTCGTAATAGCTGTGCCACTACGACTATCTTGTCTCTTTCATTCAGTGGTTCTATTTTTCTTGTTAGCCGCAGCTTTCTGGTGATTCGAGAAGTATTGATCAATCCATTCAAACATTTATGGAATCTTCACAACAACATTATCTACAAACATTATGGAATCCCATTTATTTACAAGCAATATTTACAAAGATATACAGGGTTTGATGGTAACAATTCAAAAGCAAAAGTTAAACTAGAAGAAAAATGTTCTTTTTAGAATAAAACAACTCGTTTCCACGGCAACAGCTGGTCTCCACGGTAACAGCCCGTTTCCACGGCAACCAACAGACCATCTCCACGGCAACAGCGCAATTCTGAATCGGTTCCAAACGATTTTTATAAAACTACCACGTGACGCTGCGTGGCGCGAACTAAAGCATAAAAAGTCTGAAAGAAGTCTGGGAGAATTTTGTTAAGTTTAGTCTGAATATCGTCATTGAGGTATTGGAAGTAGAGCGAATTGTATCTTTAAATTCATAGAGAAAAAGGATTATTATGTTTGTGTGAGGATGAATAAAATGCATGATGGATTTATTAAAGTTTGAGCGGCCAAGTGGCTAGCGCTCTGGCTATTGGTACCACAATCTTCAAGTTCGAATTCTGGCGGTGGCATGGATGTTGTTAGTGGTTCAGAATCCACTCTAAACTGTAGGTGCCGGTTTGTTTAACCCTTGTGTACACAAGAGGACCGTAGAGCTACAAATCAAACCAAATCGTCGTCCGATTGGCTTGCATATATTACAATGGAATACTGTTGGCTTGTCTCAACAAAAAGGAACTGATCTAATGAACATCTACAACGCATTGGGATTTTTGATCCACCAAACTGCCCTCTTTGTGATTTGGCAGAACTTATGAACTGAGCTCATCTCCATCGTTGCTTGGCACTTCATGGCGAATCTGAGATGGCGAGATACTTGGTAAGTTAAAAAACTCTTAAGGCAATGACTGTTCTATAATAATAGTTAATAGAATAATAGTTCTTACAATAATTTAATTGTGAGTAAAACAAAGGCTAAATGCGAATATGTCGAGCCAGCCAAGATTCGAACAGGGAAGAATCATAAAATAAGTGAATTAAAGAGTTTTTTAAAAAAATCAATAATTGAAGGAAGTTATAGATTTTAGCAAAATAAATATATATATATGCATATTAGGTTAAAGTCTATAATTATTTTGCGCAGATGCAGGGTAGAATTTCGATCCAGTAAAGATAAGTATGAGAGTATGTATCCAATAAATTTCAGTAATTTTTAAGTTTCATATTTTTAATTTTTTGACCGATTTTTTTCACCAAATACAATGATAATATTTTAATTACGAAATTTTTTTTTTTTAAATATTTTTCGTACATTTTTTGTGACTTTATTTTTCATTACTTTATTAAAATGAATTACTCTAATTTTTATTCGACATTATAAATTAAGATTAAATATATTTTATGAATTTTATTATATTTTATTTTTAAGAGGCGAATATATTTTTTTATAATCATTATAAGTTTTATTAGCATTTTCTACTTTAAATTTCTTCTTGCGCAATAGAGGACGATTCTATTTATCGAAATTAATACTTAATACTAATTTAAATCATTTGCTAATATTTTTCACTCGCATATCTTTTGAATTTTTTTTAATAAACCTAACGACATTTATAAAGTGTTAACCATGTTAAATAATTTCTAAAAAGACTCTTCGGAAGTGATAGCCGTTTCATCTGATGAATTTTATTGTTATTATTACATTTAGCACAGTTGATGTACTGGGTATTGTGTTCTTCACTGCAATTAACACATTTGGGAATTTAGGATTATATGAGATCGGTTCTCGTTAGATCACCGAAGTCAAGCATCATTGGGCGCGGTCAGTACTTGGGTGGGTGACCACCTGGGAACACCGCGTGCCGTTGGCATTCACAAATTTGGAACCTGAATGGCCGAGTGTCTAGCGCTCTGGTGCTCGGTGCCACAGGTTTCGGGTTCGAATCCCGGCGGTGCCATGGATGTTTGTAGTGGTTCGGAATCCACTTTAAGCCGTAGGTCCCGGTCTCCTATGACTGTCAGAGCGTCACGGAGCCAAAGTCAGACTTCTACCTACTGGTGCTCCATCACAACAGAAGCTGCTTCCTTCCCCTTCAATCATGAGTACGTATGGGCTCGTTAGCTTGGCCAGCCAAGTGGGATAAGAAACAACAACAAACAAACAGGATTATATGATGTTGGGCGTTGCAGAATACGCAAACAACTAGATTTTTACAATTGGGTATGTATATGAGAAACATTTTCAACACTGATGGGATTTATCAAAAAAAAAAAAAAATTTTTTATTGCGTAAGCCATAATCCGGTGTATGTTGGAAGCTTATTCCTAAAATAGCGACCAAAACTAGAGTGGGCGTAGCTCATTTTTCTGCAAAACAGCAAATTTATGAGATCAAAAGATTGTTCTCCTCTTTTTAGTTTTTTCACGAGTTTTTCTAGTGATATATCAGTGGGAATACTGTGAAATAGAAATCGGGTTGAACTTTTTTAAGGGGAAAGGAATAGTGTAATCGGAACTTTCATGACAGCTTTCATATTTTCCAGTTCTCTGGCAGTAAACACCTACCGTTACGTTACGTATCAAAGTGATTGCTGGAAAGGATTAATTTGCCTTGTAGAGTGATTCGTATATATAGTATTCGATGTATTTTAAAGTAGTGATCTTAGAAGATACGTTATTTTTGAGCTTTGAGGATCATTCCACTACAGTTCGAGTACGATAGTGAAAGACCTCGTCCCATGTTCGAATACCTGGCGGTGGCCTGGATGTTTGTCAGTGGTTCGGAATCGACCTTAAACTGTAGATCCTGGTCTAACTGCCTAAAGTCTGCAAAAAAAAAAAAAAAAAAATCAATGAATTAATAGTTTAAAAACTAAAAAAAAAAAAAAAAACGCTTTTAGAGTTAATCAAACTTAAAAGTAAAAAATAATTGTTAGCATAAGAATAAAATTACTGACGAGAAAATGAATGTCACTGTTCTAAAAGCGTGGGGTGCTGGATATCAATCGTTATAATTTTTCACTAGTTTCATTCCGAAAGCAGAGTTAGTTTAAAAATGTCATACAAAGCACACCACGCTTTTAGAACAGTGACATTCATTTTCTCGTCAGTAATTTTATTCTTAGGTTAACAATTATTTTTTACTTTTAAGTTTGATTAACTCTAAAAGCGTTTTTTTTTTTTTTTTTAGTTTTTAACTATTAATTTATTTTTTACTTTTTAGTTTGATTAACTCTAAAAGCATGTTTTTAAACTATAATATTTCAATGAGATCCCAGTACGGAGGACTGGTTCTTACAATAATTTAATTGTGAATAAAACAAAGGCTAAATGCGAATATGTCAAGCCAGCCAGGATTCAAACAGGGAATCTCCTGATCAGTAGTCAGGCGCGTTATCCTTTCTGCCGCTGTCCCACGTAGTTTTGAATGTCTGAAAGATGTCTATAAATGTTTCTTTGCAGCTTAAATAGTTTGTATGAGGTGAAGCAGATCTCCAGGGGAAAATGATGCGCCGATCAAGATGGCTTTTCAAAGACTGTGTGTTTTAATCCGTAATCCTGGCGATTCTAATCATGATGAGATGATAAAGTTATCAAAAAATTTTAGTGTCGTCGGTCCTTGATAAGTCTACAACGTTTAAATTAAATCGGATCGCATAAAGTAGGGCAAAATCGAGCCCAAAAAGTCAGTTACATACATACAAACATACAAATATACAGGTGAAACTAATAAAGGCGTATTAAAAAGACCGTAGAGCGACAAACCAAACTCGTACCATGTTTAAATGCTATTTGTACTGTTAGACTATCACGATGAGCTTTGATGAGATTGTCATTAGAGCTATACTCCATTAAATTGGGGAGCAAAGCAATGTCTGCCAAATTTAGCTCTAAGCACAAAAGCCACTCAAAATTTAGTATCTACTTAGACTATATTGAAAACATGAAGGAGAGAAAAAAAATTAATAGTTTAAAAGAACTAAAAAAAAAAGCTTTTAGAGTTAATCAATCTAAAAAGTAAAAAATAATTGTTAACATAAGAATAAAATGACTGACGACAAAATGAATGTCACTGTTCTAAAAGCGTGGGGTGCTCGATATCAATCGTTATAATTTTTCACTAGTTTCATTCCGAAATGCAGAGTTAGTTTTAAAATGTCATACAAAGCACTCTACGCTTTTAGAACAGTGACATTCATTTTCTCGTCAGTCATTTTATTCTTATGTTAACAAATATTTTTTACTTTTTAGTTTGATTAACTCTAAAAGTGTGTCTTTTAGTTTTTTTAAACTATTAATTTATTTTTTACTTTTTAGTTTAATTAACTCTAAAAGTGTGTTTTTTTAGTTTTTTTAAATTATTCATTAATTTTTTATTTTTTAGTTTGATTAACTCTAAAAGCATGTTTTTTAGTGTTTTTAAACTATAATATTTAAATGAGGTCCCAGTACGGAGGAGTGGAGCTATAGTTCTTACAATAATGTAATTGTGAGTAAAACAAAGGCTAAATGAGAATATGTCGAGCCAGCCAGGATTCGAACAGGGATCTCCTGATCCGTAGTCAGGCGCGCCATCCATTGTCCCACGTAGGTTTGAATGTCTTTACTGAATACTTTCATTCTACATGGGTTAAATTGCTCTTCATAAGTTAAAATAAAATCTCTAATCCTGGCGATCCTAATCATGATGAGATAATAAACTTATCAAACTATTTTAGTGTCGTCGGTCCTTGATAAGTCTACAACGTTTAAATTTAATCTGATCGCTTAAAGTAGGGCAAAACCGAGCCTAAAGAGTCAGTTACAAACAAACAAACAAACAAACATGCAGGTGAAACTAATATAAAAGAGTATTAAAAAGAATCAACTGTTTTCTTTCTGAAAGATGCCTGTAAATGTTTCTTTGCAGCTTAAATAGTGTATATGAGGAGAAACAGATCTCCAGGGGAAAAAGTCAGTTACATACATACAAACATACACGTGAAACTAATAAAAGCGTATTAAAATTAGAAAAAAAATTATATAAATCTATAGGTAATTTATCTACGAGGAATACTAAAGCTAAAACACTATAGAAAATGAAAAATATAACCAGAAAAAAAAAGTTGGGTAAATTAAGATATTTGCTTAGCTAGCTCGAACTTAATCGCATTCTTCTTCAAAATGCAAACTTTTCACTGAAATTGAATGTATTAGCATCAAGTATTTCTGTCTTACTGGTGTGAATATGCCGAATAATCTAGTCAACTTGGTAATTTTTAATACTTGGTGTATATCCTATTTTCAATATTTTTTGTGTGTTTTTAATATAAATAAAATAATGGAAACGACTATGTTTATTCTATTTACTTTAATTACTTATTTTAACAGCAAACAATTTTTTTTTTTTACTTGCAGGAATTTTGCTTAAAATTTCCCAACTTAATATAGTGTGTTTTATTAAAGTACAATTTTAAAATATAACATTGAGAAATCAATTTTTTTTTCTATGATTATTTTTTTATCTGGCTCATAGCGAAAAAATTGTTATTTTCAAATTAAATAAAAACTTTGCATGCCCAATGCAAAATTCGCGCTTTTAAAAATTCTTTAAGAATCGCCTTTTTTAAAATCAAATGCCACAAAATAAAACCTAATATTATTCAAAAAAAAAAATCTAATTTTATCTAAACATATTAAAGCATGCTATTTTTTTAAACTAATCATTTATTTGTAAAGAATCAACTTTTATTTTTATAAATATTTTTTCAATTTAAGCCATCAAATGATCGTCTTTTAACCTTCGTTTTCTTCGTTTTTTTTTAAAATGCTGTTCAGATAAAAAAAAAAATACGAAAAAATTCTAATTAGTTCTTTTTTAGTTAAATAAAAATTGTATTTTCAATTTATTTATAATAATTCATTTATTAGAAGACATTATACTGTTATAAAGCTAAAAATAAGCTAAATTAGTAAATAGCAGTATTAATTTTGTAACATTGTCATTTTGGAACATAATTTATAACTGTATCAGTACTTAGGTATTAATCATCTTTTTAATACGCTTTTATTAGTTTCACTTGTATGTTTGTTTGTATGTTCGTATGTATGTAACTGACTCTTTGGGCTCGATTTTGCCCTACTTTAAGCGATCAGATTTAATTTAAACGTTGTAGACTTATCAAGGACCGACGAAAATAAAATATTTTGATAAATTTATTATGTCTTCATGATTAGTATCACCAGGATTAGTGATTAAAACACACAGCCTTTGAAAAGTCATCTTGATCGGTGCATAACTTTTTCCCCTGGAGATCTGTTTCCCCACATGCACACTATTTAAGCTACAAAGAAACATTTTCAGACATCTTTCAGAACAAAAACAGTTGATTCTTTTTAATACACTTTTATATTAGTTTCACCTATATATTTGTTTGTAACTGACTCTTTGGGCTCGATTTTGCCCTACTATAAGCGATCAGATTTAATTTAAACGTTGCAAACTTATCAAGGACCGACGACAATAAAATATTTTGATAAGTTTATTATCTCATCATGATTAGAATCACCAGGATTAGTGATTTTATTTTAACTTATGAAGAGCAATTTAACCCATGTAGAATGAAAGTATTCAGTAAAGACATTGAAATTTACGTAGGACAGCGGTACAACGGATAACGCGCCTGACTACGAATCAGGAGATTCCCTGTTCGAATCCTGGCTGGCTGAACATATTTGCATTTAGCCTTTGTTTTACTCACAATTAAATTATTGTAAGAACTATAGTTCCAGTCCTCCGTACCGGGACCTCATTTAAATATTATAGATTAAAAACACTAAAAAACATGCTTTTAGAGTTAATCAAACTAAAAAATAAAAAATTAATGA